AAAAGTATTTCTGAAAGCATAATTTATTTTAATGTCAGCAGGAAAGCAAGCAAACAAGGTAATAATTGTGCTGGTGAGCAGGCACTATCAAGCATGCATTCATGACTTAAAAAGCTATTAATATATGATATAGGAAGAGAGTCATTCCAGTGATATATGGCCCATTCTATTTCTCTTTGTGGGCATTAATAGCATTTAATACCTAGTAAGAATATCTTATAGCCCAATGCAGAAAAGGCAAGGGATATATTCCCACCTGAAACAATTACCTAGCAGCTCAAACTAGTTTTGCTGTTGTTCCCATACCCTGCCAATGGAATTCTGGTTGCTCTACAAGCTAGAAGCATGAAAATTGTGGCCAATTTGTTATTGGGGTTTCAACTATCCCTCTTATACCCACAAACAAAGCATAACTCACCTTTTCATATTTAAAACTTTCAATAATGTCCTGTGTCACTCCTCGCGTTTGTAAGAAATTACAAACCTGTAGAAAAATGAAGAAATCTGTTATACATAATGGAATGGTAGCCCCCAAAAATTACAGTAATCATACCTGCCGGAAAAAAATCAGGCCATTGTTAAAATAAGGGTAACTTGTAAACTGGCAATAAAGTCGGGCTTAATAACATTATTGACCATTTTCTTCTTTTTTTTTTTTTTGATGGGGGGGTGGGGAAAGTTATTCAAATGCCAAGTGGTTTGCCTGTGGGGGATGGACGCCCCAAGATTTGACTGATATGGCACGGCACAAAACAAGCAGTTGCTTATATTATACACAAAATGTTTGTTAAGGAAGTGAGCACAACATTAATTTATACAACAATGAAGGCGGGACGCCTAATACATTTCAAAACGGGCTGATTTTGTTTTCATTCGCATGGTTTGGTTAGCTTATTTGATCCTTTCTGCAACGCAACAAGTACAGTTCGCACAATAACCACGAGTGTTGACAGAAACAAATAGCTACGTGATTCAGAAATACAGAACAATTAACTCATTCCACTCCGCTCAGCCGACTCTTAGAAATTGAATATTTATGAAGATACCATACGACATTATGAATATTCACGAGCTTACCTTCAAAAGATCGCTACATGTTTCCAGTGTTTCCGCTCTCTCCGCCATGTTGTTCCAAAAACAACACGAGCCTGCGCTAATTCAACCTCGTTCCCAGGCACCAAAAGTGGCACTAAAAGTGGCACTAAAAGTGGCACTAAAAGGGGCACAAAAAGTGGCACTAAAAGTGGCACTAAAAGGGGCACAAAAAGTGGCACAAAAAGTGGCACAAAAAGTGGCACAAAAGGTGGCACTAAAATAAAAAAGATGTGTGTCTCTTACAGGGCTCCGTAGTCACATTAGGCAATGTGCCCCGATGACAGATTTTTACACCAAAGTGACAACATTCACGCTAAACTTTGCCAAGTGCGACCCATGCCTAAATCAGGAAATTGTCACAATCTCGTAAATTGGCGAACCCCAAGGAGAATATTCACGG